CGCCTGTCCCTACCGGCCCGCCCCGTGGTCTCCGTCTCCCGGCCACCCCCCACCCCTTCTCCGAAACCCGCGAGAGCCACTGCTCTGCAGCTGGGACCCAACGCCGGCCTGCCTCGGGGGTGCATGAAGGACCGAGCCCCTTCCCCTGGCGTGGCGAGAGGTGTCTTAGCACTAGCATAGCGGTGGGGCTTGGGTTCCTGCTCTGTTCGTCCCAAAGCCGGCTCCGGCGCTCCCTTCTCCGGACGCTCCAGGAATACTCCTCACGCCCTCGCCATGCCTGGGCCCAGTGCAGCAGTTTAAAATGGATGACTCCTGCTAGTGGCTCATCCCTCCTGCATCAACCCTGAGCTGAGGTTGTCAGACCTGAGGCATTGTGACCGCTGGTAAATGGGAGTGGGTGACAGGTGTGTCCTGCCGTCACGCTGGGCACGCGGACTTAGAGCAGGAGTGGATGTTCTAGTTGAATTAGGATCACAAACGTGGGAAGCAAAGTATTTCACCAGCTGCCTGCCGCAAACTTACCAGCGTGCAGTCAGATTTGGTATCATTAATGTTCCCTTTTGTGACCAGTCCAAAGATTATTTTTCTAATTAGAAGAGCAGTTGTGATACAGGAAGTTGTTGGTTAAGGAAAATATAGTGGGAAAGTAAAATAGAGCCTGAAAGTGCATCATTTGCTTTGGATTACTTTAGGAGACGCTGCAGAAGTCTGGCTAGGAAGACAGGACTGGGAAGCACAAAAGAACTCTGAGAAAGTGAAGAAGCTAAAATCAAAAAGGAAAAATGGTCACTTAAGAAAATTCCACCTTAAAGAAAAAGAGGCAGTATTTGAAACACATGGGCTCATCCATTAGCCTTTTCCGAGGCTGCAGATGACAGTGGCAAGAAAAGATCTCCCCCTCTTGAAATTGGTAGGAGAAGATCATAGAATCATAGAATCATAGGACTGGAAGGGACCTCGAGAGGTCATCGAGTCCAGCCCCCCGCCCTCAAGGCAGGACCAAGCTCCGTCTACACCATCCACAGCAGGGCACTTTCCCTGCCACACACACCGATGGCTTCAGCCTGTCACCTCCCAACAGCACAGACGGCTCCCTCTCAGCTGTAACAATTGCAGGGCAGTGTGCTCTGATCGACTCTCCTCTACGGATTGATTTAGCCACCTCACTGGGGTTAACCGCCTGACAAAGCGCAGGGATCTGTAACAGCCACAAGGAGCCACTCACATCTGCTGGGTGTGGCACCCAGACCACACACGGAGAGGAGGAATGAATTTGTTCCACGGCCTGAGCAGAGAGCCAGCCGGCTTTTCGCGCTGGGTTAGAGGCTCATGCACTAAGCTCCAGAGGTCCCTGGTTCCGTTCTGCCCACAGATGACCAGGGTCGGCTGGCGTTACATCAGGACCTGTGTTTGGGACTGCTCAGTGCCCATGAGCACCACCAGGGATGTTACATGAGACTTGGCGGGAATAGGGCCACACATCCCAGATCACCAACCCCACTTCCTGCAGCCTCTGGCTGTTCCCTGGTGGTTTCGTGCAACTCCCCCTCAGGTCTGGGCCTGCTCAGACTGGATAGGTCACAGCAAGGAGCTGCTCTCCCTCAGCGGGGTATGAACCCCGTGAATGCCAGCACAGGCACAGCCCTTCAGATTATTTCAATCATAGAATCATAGGACTGGAAGGGACCTCGAGAGGTCATCGAGTCCAGCCCCCCGCCCTCAAGGCAGGATCAAGCTCCGTCTACACCATCCCTGACAGATGTCTATCTAACCTGTTCTTAAATATCTCCAGAGAGGGAGATTCCACCACCTCCCTTGGCAATTTATTCCAATATTTGACCACCCTGACAGTTAGGAATTTTTTCCTAATGTCCAATCTAAACCTCCCCTGCTGCACTTTAAGCCCATTACTCCTTGTCCTGTCCTCAGAAACCAAGAGGAACAAATTTTCTCCTTCCTCCTTGTGACACCCTTTTAGATATTTGAAAACCGCTATCATGTCCCCCCTTAATCTTCTTTTTTCCAAACTAAACAAGCCCAGTTCATGAAGCCTGGCTTCATAGGTCATGTTCTCTAGACCTTTAATCATTCTTGTTGCTCTTCTCTGTACCCTTTCCAATTTCTCCACATCTTTCTTGAAATGTGGCGCCCAGAACTGGACACAGTACTCCAGCTGAGGCCTAACTAGTGCAGAGTAGAGCGGCAGAATGACTTCACGAGTTTTGCTTACAACACACCTGTTGATACAACCTAGAATCATATTTGCTTTTTTTGCAACAGCATCACACTGTTGACTCATATTCACCTTGTGGTCCACTATGACCCCTAGATCCCTTTCCGCTATGCTCCTTCTTAGATAGTCGCTTCCCATCTTGTATGTATGGAACTGATTGTTCCTTCCTAAGTGGAGCACTTTGCATTTCTCTTTATTAAACCTCATCCTGTTTACCTCTGACCATTTCTCTAACTTGCTAAGGTCGTTTTGAATTATGTCCCTATCCTCCAAAGAAGTTGCAACCCCACCCAGTTTGGTATCATCTGCAAACTTAATAAGCGTACTCTCTATCCCAATATCTACATCATTGATGAAGATATTGAACAGTACGGGTCCCAAAACAGACCCTTGCGGAACTCCACTTGTTATCCCTTTCCAGCAGGATTTAGCACTGTTGGCAATGTTTAAAGACATCGTAGTTCTACAGGACTTGGGTGAAAGGTCTTAAGTGCTTTGAAAACTTCATGTATCAAAAGCAAACTTTCTAGATGAAAAATATAAGTCAATATATATATTTTAGGAATGGGTGGCTATGTATCCATGTATGCATTAGGCATTATTTCAGATCAGTATGATACGTTTTCAAAGGTGTCATATTTTAAGAGAACTAAACTTTAACAGCTAACTCTCAGTTAATGGCTATTTTGTTAATTTCATGTAAATGTATCAGTTACTGCATTGAGAGGTGATACCACCTTTCTATATGTATCCTCTTTCTACGTATATCATTGACTATATATTCTAGAGAGATTGTCTGATCAAGAACGCCTCCTGGCAAATCTCTTAGGGTGCAGAGTCTACACAGCATCCTTAGCTCAAAATAAGCTAATAACTCACTATTCCAAAATGCCCCTTAACCCTTGTGGAACGAGGATTACCGGGATGTCGGAATAATAAGCCACCCATTATTTTGAAATCTGTTTTGGAATAGTTATTTTGGGATATTCCCGGTATCCCAAAATAGCTCCGCAGTGTAGACGTAGCCTCGGTTACTTTATATTGAGTACATGAGAAGAAGCCTGACTCATAACTGACTGGCAAGTCAGATGGTCAGTTGTAAGTTTCCCCGGGAGGTAGATCCTGTGAGGTCAGCTCACATGTGCAGAGAAGTGCATCAGGATGGCTCGCCGGGCCTCGGCAATGCTCCCTGGGCTGGAAGGAGCTGGCTCCGTATGCTGTGTGTCTGCGTTCTCGGGGGGCCAGGAATAAGTAAGAGCATCTTCCGGCCACGTCTCCCCACCTCCCATTTAGAAAGGGAGTTCAACAGGAAAAACTGCTGCGTGTTCTGAGACTTGTGGCCTTGGTCCAGGTTTTCAGAGATTCTGAACGCAGGCGGCAATGAACTGAGCACCGGATTCTGCCGGGCCGGCGCGCTGCTGGGCAAACGGGCCAGTCGCCGAGCACCGGATTCTGCCGGGCCGGCGTGCTGCTTTGCAATAGGGCCAGGCACAGAGGAGTGTGTGGCGTGATTTGAGCACTGGTACCAAAATTACAGCGCCGGGGAGCTTTTGTTCTGATGAAAATAATAATCTGTTTTCCCTTGAGTCAAAGCTGTGGCCCAAGGCAACATTTGCTCAGTGCTGGTGTTCACCTCGAGAGGTGAATTTCTAGTGATGGGCCGGCGTGCTGCTTTGCAATAGGGCCAGGCACAGAGGAGTGTGTGGCGTGATTTGAGCACTGGTACCAAAATTACAGCGCCGGGGAGCTTTTGTTCTGATGAAAATAATAATCTGTTTTCCCTTGAGTCAAAGCTGTGGCCCAAGGCAACATTTGCTCAGTGCTGGTGTTCACCTCGAGAGGTGAATTTCTAGTGATGTTCAGAAATGGGACCAGAACTCTGGGTGTGAGGAGCGGGCTGCCGCTGAGGGGTGTCTCTTGTTCTGAGAGCGGTAGTGGGGCGAGCTAAAGTGTCACGTTGCCTGTTTTTGTTCTAGGTCCCGCGTCAGCAGGCACGGTGAGAATTTCAGCCCTGCGGGTTGGCTGCCATGTCGTACCGACAGGAACTGGAGAAATACCGCGATCTGGATGAGGATAAGATCCTTAGTGCGCTGACAGAGGAAGAGCTCAGGACACTAGAGAGCGAACTGGAAGAGCTGGACCCTGATGTAAGTAGATTTTCGGTGACCTCTGGAGATGGCCAGTTCCGAGTAATTATATCTTGGGGTGCATCTCTCCGTATTTACTACTTGAATCTGCTCAACTCTCTTCCCGTGTCTTGTCGTGAGCCCGGCGAGGACCTAACCACGCGAGTGTTCCTCTGGACCATACGAGCCATTGGTGCTGTCACACCAGGTCTTGCTGCGCTCTGTGCTCCTCTGAATAGCCGAGCCGGGAAGCGAAGCAGAGGGCTGCTGAGTGCAGTGTCCCTGAGCAAGCCCCTTTCTGCGGTGGGGGTGACATGTCCGCTTCGAGGGAGCGCCAGTGTCTGCCACCGTTACGGGCACTGGCTTCTTCGCTACAGTCCCATCGATTTCAGAGGGACCACTCGGTGCTTACTCTGCGAGGACTGGCAGAACCTGGCCGTCTGTCTGCACCCTGTTAGAACCCCTCCCAGCCCAATGGCTGAAGCTCCGAGTGCCAGCAGCTCCCCACCCACCATGCCCCGCAGCATGCAGGCTGGGGAGGGAAGGGGAGCTGCGGGGGCTTGGCACTTGGAGGCTGAAGCCCTGAGCACTGGTGCCTCCTGCCTGCCCCCAGCCGCAGGGGAAATACGGGACAATGTGCTAGGAACAGCCCTTCTGTCCGGGGTGGCCGGTTTCCCTCTGTGTAGCAGCCCCCCACCCCTTCTATCTCTGCATCTCCTCTCTTCTGCCCCCACGGTGCTTCCCCCCTCTCTGCCAGGCTCCCCCCGCCCAGGGTGCCACTTTGCGTGTGGGATTAGGTGCTGTGCTCCCTGGCAGAGGAGGGCTGGGGACGAGCGAGGCCGGGCTCGTGCTCCCGCTCGGCAGTAGAAGAGTTGGGAAGGGGCACCGCAGGGAGGTGGCTGGGACCTGGGACCTGCTGGGCTGTTGCTCCCTGGCGGGCCTGGCCTGTCGAAGGTGACTTCTGGGCCCCCGGCTCTCAGGGTGTGAGCGGGCGGGAGGCTCGGCAGTGCTGGTGCCGCGAGGTTTTCCCTCCGTGCGCAGGGGAATGAGGAGAGGTCTCACGTCGTACCCTGGCGCACTGGACAGGCGCCTGTTTGCCCCCTGCTCTCTTGTGCCTCCATCCCTCTGCATCCAGCCGGGCCTGCGTCTGGCCATGACGTGGGGCCGGGGCTGCGTCTGTGCGGCTCTGAGCGCAGCGGGCTCTCGGCTGGGGTGCCCAGCAGTCCGGCAGCGCAGACAGCAACGCGTGGAGGAACAGGTGTTGCGTACCCTGGCGCACTGGACAGGCGCCTGTTTGCCCCCTGCTCTCTTGTGCCTCCATCCCTCTGCATCCAGCCGGGCCTGCGTCTGGCCATGACGTGGGGCCGGGGCTGCGTCTGTGCGGCTCTGAGCGCAGCGGGCTCTCGGCTGGGGTGCCCAGCAGTCCGGCAGCGCAGACAGCAACGCGTGGAGGAACAGGTGTTGGGCCTGCACGTGGCAGTAGCGAGACCCCTCTCCGGCCGCAGCGTGTGGGGAGCGTGAGGTGAGCTAGCGGAGGAGGCAGGAGTGGCTGGGGGCGTGCCCCGGGGGGGGGGCTCTGCGGCGTGGAGAGGCACAGAGCAGGGGCCTGGCGCTGGCTGGATTCGGCCTGGGGGCTGCCTGCCCACCGCTGGCTTTGGCTGCTCTGGGGCAGTGTCTCTCTCTTGCCAAAAGCACAACGTCTCACGAGGGTTTGGGTTTCATTTCACACCAACGAAAACAAACCTGGAGAACGACGGTTTTCACGTTGGCCTCCTTGTGTTCTGGTGAGCCCCGCGGCCTGGCCGCTGCCTGAGCGCTGCCCTGGATCCAGGGGCATCCTCCGTGTGCTCGTGAGGGGCGGTCGGGCGCAAGGGAGCTCAGCGCAGCGTCTGTCGGGAACGCTAGGAGCTGGGCAGATCCGGCTGGCAGCAAACAGACCGTGCAGTCCGAGGGCGGTGCCGTGGGAGGGGAGCTCTCCCCGCCTCCCCGGCTAAGCAGGGACTGTGCAGGTTACCCAGGGATTACAAGGGCCAGTGCCACGGCCCAGACAAAGGCGGGGTCAGACTCTCCGTGACACTCCAGGGAGCGCCAGGGGAAAGCAAAGATCGGAGACTTTGCCTTAGCTGAGGCAGTGCATGGACCCTGGCGTGTCCAGCTGTCAGGCCTGAGAGCGCCAAGGGCAGAGCTGCTCCCAAGCGTTCAGCTAGCGCATGGCCGTTCTGCTGCGCTGTCCCCTTGGCGGGCCGGCCTGGGGCCTGGCTTCTGTGGTGTCAGTGTGTTAGCATCAGGCCGACGTGCAAACAGCAGCCTCGTGTTCCCACGCCGGGGTCCAGCAAAGCCTCACTTCCAGCAGCCCGCAAGCCTTTTGGCGCCAGGGGGTTCTCCTAGGTATGCGCTAGGGAGCTACAAGTGTAACCGGTTAACCAGCCTATCGGCTCCGGCTAACGATTCACGTCCTGCGGGGGCCGGCGGGGCCGCAGCCCCCTGGCGCTCGTTTGACTGGGTGACTGACCGATTTGAAATGGCTGCATGGACGGCGTTGGTGAGGATT